AATATACTTGAGAAAGAAGACACTTTACAGCCAGAGTGATTAGATCAGAAGGATAGGTTCATTGATCTTTCTAAATCATATCTGGCCTTTGGTAACTGTAGTTAGGCTGAACTTGGAGCATAGATAGAAACCATGATCTCACATGTGACCTGGCCAGACAAGAAATTGGCTGAAAAGTAACTTTGGGTGGAATGCAAAGTATGACCCTGACACTATGGATATGTGGGGTTGCAATGGGAGCATTAAGCAGACAATGCTTCTGAAGTTATTTAAGCTGAAGAAACATCATGCATGCCTCTATTCGTCATGGGTGCCTGGACTGGGTAGGATTAACTTCACTCTCCCTTTCTTCTGGGCAGTAGTACAAAGCAGAAAACACCTTTTTCCCCTCTTGTGTCTCCGTTGTCTTTGTTGTACAAATAGATCTGAGCTGTGAGTTGGTTCCCAACTTTCAGGTCCAATTTCTGGCATTGGGATTCTAGTTTGAATCCTTTGGTAAAAGGGAGGTTAGGTTGTATCTGAATCTTTAGGGTTAGTGATAAAGGGTAGAGTCATAATTTATAGATAATATTTTCAATAGAGATGCATTTTGGTATTAGGCTAGGAAATATGAGTGTATTTTATTTGGGATGGAGGCTTTGGTGTTATTGACAGTGTTTTATTAGACAACTGCAGATTATACCTAGGATTTTAGGAAACTGACTAAAAAGAAAGGATCCTCATAATGGCATCCTTCTGATTCTCCTATTGAAGAAGGGCTAAAATTTAAGGTTCCAGTGGCCCAACTTCTACCTTCCCTCTTTCTGTTACAGTATAGCGCTGGTGGGTAATGAAGAGGCTGAGATAATTCGGATATATCCTCTGGGGGCAGAGTAGAGAAGCACAGACTCTTGGGGTTGGACAGGACCTCAAATGTGAGAGAAAGAAGTAGGGGGGCATAAAGGAAAAGAAGGAAAAAGGAGAGGGAAACTGGGAGAGAAGGAAGGAAGAAATGAAAGGGAAAGAAAGGAAAGAAGGAAGGGAAGGAGAGAAGGGAAAGAGGGACGGAGAGAGGAAGGAAAGAAGAAAAAAACCCAAGTGTGTAGATTTGACCATGTAACCTTGAGAATCACCACACAGCTTGAGAGACATATCTATATCTACATCTATCTATTTATCTATCTGAACATTACCTCTGGTTTAATAACAATTGGGTGACAGCTTCTCATTAAACACACTTAAATGCTGGGGTTAGAAATACTGGAATCTAAAGAGACTATTTGTCAGATAAATTTGTAGTTAAGGTTGTGACTAGCAATCACCCAAGTTCTGATAATACAGTAAGTGTCCATGTATAGATAGCACAGCTCAGCTCTGGGCAGGTTCACCTTACCCCAAACCCTTGTTTACAAGAATCTGTGATGGTTTCCTTCCATAGCTGCTTTTTGCTAATTGCAGCCAAGTGTTCCCCATGTGATTTATCCCTGCTTCTCAGCTGTTGTGCCTGAACCTCACAGGCCTGTAATCAGGAGAAATCTTCTTTAAAATTCAAACGCAGCAAAATTCCTTCTTTTCACAGTCCAACATGGCTGAGCACTACCAGAACACTTTATTTTTTAAAGGACTGTATACTATTTGTCTGGAGTCTGAAAACAAAAGGAGGGGGGCATTTTTAAGTTTTGGAGAAAAGCATCCACTGATTCAGTGAGTGTAAAGCTTGGGTTTTAGGAAGACCTGGATTGCAGTGTTGACTCTGACATACACTACCTGCATGACCATGAGTATTAACCTTTCAATTCCCCAGGGCAAATCTCTAGAACAGAAGTAACAGATGAATTGCTGACCTGTATCAGTGGAGGGACTTCTTCACACTACTAACAATCCAGGCCCCAATTTTTTTTTTTTACAAAAAGGGAAGGGAGTTAGGGTCAATAAGGTGAGGAAGGGTAAAGGGTTAGGAAAGAGGCACTCCTCTCCACTTAGGTGAAGAATGTAGGGGGAATTGGTAAGAAAAAGAATGCCCTCCTTTCCATTATTATCATTTTCATGACCAAATGGAAAAGAGAGGCAAATCTTAGAGATACTTCTATCATCCTCTCATTGGTCACATACCTGAAATGAAAACCATTCTGGGAACACATTTCTCCCAGAACGCTACCAGACCATTAACCACTGTCACTCTCCATTAGTCATGCTTGGTGTCTCTTAATTTGTCCTCTGTCCCCTTTTCAAAAATGTTACTAGAATAGCAGACACTGAAAACACACACACTGGACAAGTCGTAAGTCCCTCTATATAGAGTTCCAGAATCCTTACTTTATTAATTCTTTCACTCACAACCTGCAGATGTCTCTGGAGTAATTAGCGACAGAATAGGGTTAATGTAGTTGCCTCATGGTGATGCTGATTCATTATGACTGATTGCTCATTTACATAGGTTATGCAAGTCTAATTAAGTGAAAACCCAAAAGGATAGCATGAGACATACCACATGTAGATATCTCTCTCTCCCCCACTTCATCTTCTTTCCACCATATTTCTAAAGGCTGCTGAGAACATTAGGATAGGCCTATTCCCCTTTAAATGTTTTGGTTCATTAAGACTGGGTATATAGAGGTAAAGTTTACAGATAATAACAACTTGCTATTCTTGGGAAAGAATAAATTAGGCTGGAGACTTGGGGCTAATTTATACCTCCCTATTCCCTTTCTTCAAAGGAGACCTGTGTACATCAGAATGATTGCTGTCGGCAAGTGCCTTTCTCCAGGGCTTGTACTTAGAGTAAATGTGCGTCCCTACTTTTACAAAAGTCCAATGAACAAAAATTTGAATCAGCAAGACAGAATAAAGGAGAGCATAATTCAGAGAGGAAGTCCTGTTGATTCTTCCTTTGAAATTGTTCTTTCATTTCCAGTCAGTTCCTTCTTTTTCATCCCCACTGCCACCTCCAGGCACTTTGCCTAGAATACTTTCCCATGATAACCGGTCTCCCAGCTTCTATTCTCTCACTTATTCAGATTTCATCTTTCTAAATCACTTTCATCATGATACTCCCTTGACTGGAAAACTCTAGTAGTTCACTATATAGGAGTATTACAGGACAAAGTTCAAACTATTTAGGCTAGAATTCAGGACTTTCTGTAATTTTGTTGTGTCCTATTATCAGAACTTAGCTTCTGTTACTCCCAACATACATCTTTCACCAGCCAAGCCAGCTTCTCCACTGTCCTTGGAAGATGAAATGCTTATTCCTAGCTCAAAGCTGTTCCCTTCTTTTAGAATGTCCATTTTTCTTCCTCTGTACTTAGCCAAATCCCATGCGGACATCAAGGCCTGGGTAGAAGCCCAAGTCTTCTATAATGCCTCCCATAATTATTCTAGCCCACAGCAGTCTCCTCCTCTCAATGACCAATATGCATTATATCTATCACTCATTTAAGGATTTCATCACAATATACTCTTACTTAACTATTTCTTGTTTGCATGTTGTTTCCCCATTTAACTTGTAGAAGGCAGGCTGCAACATTTTAGTGCCTATCATAGTGCGAGGCAATCTTTTTCTTTATTTTATTTTTTTCATTCTAGACTGATGATTTCACTAGTGTGGAAAGATTTTTGCATAGAAATACCAATGCACATTATATAGGGGGAGGGGGGAGATTTGTAAAGGGTTTTTTTTAGTATTTAAATAATTCTGTCAATATAATTGGTTTTCTTTGCAAACCTATATATTTTATTTTATATATTTAAAAGCATTATTTTGAGAAGAGGTTCACAATCTTCACCAAACTGCCAAATGGGTCCATGGCACACAAAAAGGTTATGAACTCTTGTCTGAGTATTCCTTGGGGGCCACTGAGATGTCAAGTGACTTGCCCAAGATCACACAGTCAACAGTATCAGGGACAGGACTTAAAGCTAGGTCTTCTTGACTATGCCACTTTGCATCGTGTATCTCATCTCAGCCTTTACTATCACGTTGATGTTAAATATCTGATGATGAAATCAATCAATGAAATTTGGCTCATATAACTTTTGGAGAATACTGCTATTACATAAAGTGAGTTGTATAGAGTTTTGAAGTACCATTTTGCCCTTCTGAACGGCATCCTGAGCAAGAAGCTGGGAGATAGATGGGCAAATGATGCTAGCTTTTCTGGTGAGTTGCTATTGGTCTAAAAAAATCAATTAATTTTTCTTCATCTGCTTAATTTATCTAAAAAACTGCAGTAGGTTGCTTAGATACTATTTGTAAAAAAATGTTTTTGGCTTTTACTGACAAGGGATTATATCCACATAAGGCAGTCTCATCAACAGTGCGAAAACAACTCTCAGAAGTGTTTTCCCCCTCACCAATTATACTCCATTCCTAGACCATAAAGTGATCTTCCTATTCATTTGTGAAGCAGCAGAGTTAATTTCTCTACATGAGTATTTTAATAATTGTAGGCACATTCATTAAGTAGCACTTAAAAATGAAAATGTAGAAAACATTTAGGTCTACATTTCAAAGCCTATTCGGTTAAAATATGTCCCCAAGCCATTTCATCATAGCTTGCTATCTGAGATTAAAAAAAAATGGAGGAAAGACATTTTCATGATAAAACATAATATGAAAAGTAAACTAGACCTTCAGAGCAAAATTTGAAGAGAAAGGTGGAAAATCTAGCCAGACTTCTGCTATTAAACAGAAAGGGAAAAAGAAATCTGTCTTATCTTTGTAAAATGGCATAAACTCAGGAAGGAAAACACTTTGGGATTTTCCCCATGAATACAAAAGCACACATTGACAGGTACAAACATGGAGAGGCTCCTTAGCTTCTTGTGGGAGACTGGTGGGTGTTACGTGTGTGCACGCTGATGCACAAATCCAGACCCCAAAGCAAGGGACTGATGTCCATGGAGATATCTCTACATTCTGAAGAACAATTGCCCAGGAGGGACAAATCTCAGTGTAGGACTGAACCATCCCTTGAAGGGAGGGGGTGACCCTGGGCCCTTGAAAGATAGTCTTTACTTACCCGTTAAATGGTTGGCAATTCTGGCAATGGGTTTAGGAGGCAGGGCAGGGGGCTGCTTGAGGAGGGGCAACTGTTTCACTGGGGTCTCCTCATGGTCTCCAGGGAAAGCAGCAGTTTTTTTGGGGGGAAGTAGCAGGACTGGCTTAGCTGAAGGATCTTGGGACAGGAGGGCTCCGGACTCACTGGCTGAGGGGCTTTCTTCAGACACTGGAGGGCACAACCACATTATACACACAACAACGTTACAAGCAAGGTAGCAGATACCAGCAGCATCCAGGACAAAAAACAGCACATTATGGACACATGTTATCAACACAACTAAGAGAAGAGAACATTGAACTTCATTATGCATACCTAGAAAACCAAGAAAAGAAAAACAAAGTGTTTTTGAAAGAAAGAGGAAGAGGGAGGATAATTAGAGAAAGAAGAAAAAAAGGAGCAAGAAAAAAGAGAGAGAACAAAGAAGAGAATGGAAAAGAGAATGAATATTTTCATAACACCATCAAAAAAGCTTCAGATTTCCATCTCTAGATTTAGAAATTCTTTGGATGCATTGCACTGGAGTCTGGCATCATCATACTGGTGGATGGTATGAACTAAACAATGAGGACACTTCTCAAACCCTAAGTCATTAGAGCTGCCTGTCTTTCCCTCTGGTCTGTTGATGCTTTCGGAAGACAATAGGACAAAGTGTAACTAGTATTGACTTGTTTTAGCCAATCATTCTTCTCCTCTCCTCACTTCTTTCCTCTCCTCTCCTCTGCCCCTGTCTCCTCCCTCCCTCTCTCTCTCTCTCTCTCTCTCTCTCTCTCTCTCTCTCTCTCTCTCTCTCTCTCTCTCTCTCTTGCTCTCTTCTCCTTCTCCTCTCTCCAGGGCTCTACAACTGCAGGTTATACTATTAGAACACAGAAGGGAGACTCAGCTAGGCATGTTGCACATCTCATGCCTGTGGAAGCCAGCTAGGGACATTCCTCTAGGACCACATACAGTGATGGCTGAATGTCATACACTAAGCTGGTAACTTAGATTCTCAAGGGGACCAATATGCCACCTGCTTGCTGTCTTATCATCCTAGAAAAGTCAAAAGACACAAAATTTTCTCAGTGGGCTAGAATTTGAATAACCATCTGCAATGAAACCTGTGGGTGAGACAAAAGCCGCACACCAGGAACTGTGGAGTGATCTTAAGTCATCTTTGGAATTATACAAGCTTCATTACAACATTCCCCCTGCTTTTTATCACTTAGACACAACACAAAATAATAGAAATGATTTCTTACCCCCTTTTCCTCTCTTCAAACCAAGGTAGTTTAATGTAGTTTAGTGTGTCAATGAGAATACTAAATTATCTCCTTATCTTTAGACATATTATTGTCATCAATTCTGGTTGCGCAGATGGAAAAGGGAGTCATCAGCATCAAAAGTGAGGCACTAGAAATTCATTTTTCAAAACATACTTCTCTTTTCTCTTGCTGTATTATAGGCTCCCAAACTGCTTGAAGCTCAGTACATGATATAGAGAAAGATGCTCTACTCAAGTACCACACACGGTAAGAGGTCCTTCTGCTTGACTGGTCCTTTGATGGGAAACATTCCTTCATGTATAAGAATGAGGAAGCTCTCTGGATGCTTAAGTGGATTCTGGATATTTACCACCATTCCTAAGACTCTTTAAAAGATGGGATATTAGTACCCCAACCAATATCAGAACAAAACTGAGGCTAAAAGGCAAGGATGAGATGTCCTTCAAGTTATATATTAGCAAACTAAAAACCTGAATCACCATGAGAAGTTATTTTTGGTCCACTTGGAGGGGAATAAAAGTGCATTTCAATGGCACTGAATGTGGTAAGTGTAGAAGGTAGACGAAGCATATTATAAATAGCAGGAGTCTAGAATTCATCTGCTCCAAAGTAACAGTAGAAATGATTAGGAAAACAAACTATCCCACCTAAAAATGTTAATGTTGTCAAGAAAGGAAATTTATTCTTAAAGAGAAAAAGATTTTAAAAGATTAAAAAAGATCCAAACCCAAAGAATTATTGCATTAAAAATCTACTAAGTAGAAATATTCAAAACCAATATCATTGCAAACATTAGAAATTAAATTTTTTTGGCTCCAATACATTGATTGACTCATCGCCTTTTCCAATCTTCATCCTCAGTAGCATGAATAGAAACATGAAGCAAATCAGGATAAAGAACCCATGCACCATACTACTGAGAAAGCTTCACCACCTTCACGGACTGGTTCTGATCATGACAAAGAAGGCATTACCTGTCCCATCCATGATGTCTGAGGGTTGGAGCACCTCATAAGAGCAGGGATCCCTAGGCATCGGAACTGGTTCCATTTCTGATAGGGCAGGAAGTGAAAGCTGGCTGGAGCTCAAGGACTGACCATTCTCCAGTGATCCATCTTCACTAGATATAGAAAGTTCTCCATCTAGAAATGAAGAAAAAAATTCAAAGACCGTTAAAAGAAAAAAAGAAGAGGGCTTTGTAGTAGGAAAATAGAAACACCGAAGGCCTGGAAGTGGACTTCAGTGCTCTTAAATAATCATTATGGAAATCAAATAGAATTCAGAAGAACACAGTGTATTACGTGAAGGCCATGTTTGGTCATTTTCTCCTCTCCCCCACACCCTCTCTGGGAAATAAGCAATCATGGCACAAGGGCAGTGGTCCCTAATAGTTCTAGGTATGGAAACTCAGACTAGTTATTTCACAATCTCTCTTCTCCTTTGCCCCCACCAAGTAATATTTTGCAAATAATTATTTTAATTTTGTTTTGTTTTTTTGATTAAAAATTAATTCCATGCTATCTTTTGAAAAGACTGGACTCCCTGGGGTGTTGCTAAATCAGGCTTGGGAGAAGAGGGCTTTTCCCCCCCAAGAAACAACCATCAAGTGAGCATACATATTGTTAATCAATTCACAGAAAGAGCTGCTTACTTCTATTCCCCTCCCAAAAAGAATATTTGTCTGGCTCTCTCAACGTGCTCTAAACTGCAGTAGCCGGAGGAGAACCTCTCAGTCATGTAATCCTTCTACCTAGGGAGATCAGCCAGAAACTGTAGATGTCAATTCCTTATCTTGTTTAAAGTCCCTGCAGCATAAAAGGCAGCTAGTTAACACCAGAGGGTAGATCAAAGTCTATTCCACAATGGTCATTTATAACATCAAAATTCTCCTAGTGTGAATTAATCCTGGCCCAGAGGAGTACGAGACAACCAGACATAATATTCAAATTAATTTTTAAAGAGTCCTGAAAGCTGTTCCAGTCAGATGATTACACAAATGAAAAGCCTCTAACTTAGGCCTAGGTTAGAAGTTAGTCATGTAGTTATGCCTATGGAAATGGAGGGGTGAGGGGAGGATTAAATGATGGCTTATTTGTAGAAGAGCACCACTATAATTTTAACATTAATATTACCTTATTGACAATTTCCTTTTGCTCTGTTTTTCCCAATATCACTCATGAAATATGCTGCCAATGATAAATGGTAGCTGATAATAATAATGATAGCTAATATTTATGTATTAAATATATTATGATAAATAGAACATAGTTTATATTTATATACATTTATAAAATGGGGAAGCTAGGTGGCACAGTAGATAGAGTGTCGGGGGCCTGTAGTCTGGAAGATGAGTCTTCCTGAGTTCAAATCTGGTCTCAGACATTAACTAGCTGCCTGACCCTGGGCAAGTTACTTCACCCTGTTTGCCTCAGTTTCCTCATTTGTATAATGAGCTGGAGAAGGAAATGGCAAACCACTTCAGTATCTTTGCCAAGAAAAGTCCAAGTGAGGTCATGAAGAGTCAGATATAACTGAAATGACTCAACATCATATTTATATAAATGTATTATATGATATATTTATGATATATATTAAGTGTTATAGCATTTGAAGGTTTAAAAAGCATTTTTCATACATTATCTCATTTTACCCTCCCAATAACCTGAGTAAAAACCCATTTTACAGAGGAGAAAACTGAGGCTAAAAGAGGTTAAGAGAATTGTTCAAATTCATATAGCTGATAAATGTCTGAGGCAGAATGTTAATTTAAGTTTTCCTGAATTCAAGTCCACCACTCTGATCACTCTACCACTTAGCTGCCACAGTAGCAAAGAACTTTTTGCCTCACTTGAATTATCTTCCTTCAATTCAATTTAAAAAAAAATTCATTAAGGGTCTACTATGTACAAAGCACTGGGGATTAAAAAAAAGAAATTATTCTTCATGTAGACTTTCAGGGAATTTATAATGAATGGGGGTAAAGCAACATACACCAATGTCATAGAGGAAGACAGGGTGCGGGGACTGGTCAGTCAACCTAGTCCCTTTGTGAGCATGTGCAGATATAATCTGCATCTGCTAATGGAATCTCCATGTGAATTTCCCAGCCTGCCCAGGTGTTACTCCTGGTCTGCTTACTGCATGAAGAATTGGAGCTTCCTGAATGGCTGCTGAGCCAGATTTGAGGATGCACGCAAAAGGCACCCACAGGCTAAGGCATTTTCTTTTCTCTGCCAGGCCATTTTAGAGTGAGGAGTAAACCTGCAGGGCGGGGAGGGGCCTCAAGCCTTTGCTTCCTCACATGGGCCCTGACTTGTGGCCCAGGACCTCCGGGCCAAGTTACTGCTTCTATGTCTGTTCCCTTTCTTGCACTTACCAGCAGTCTGCACCCTCGTGAACTTTGAAAGATAAGACAGTGAACCACTCGAGGTCAGGGAATCAGTCCAGTCCTGAGTTTTTGGTCAATAGTACAGCCCTCAAGAGGGACCTATGGGACCCAGCCCAGCAGTAGTTTTATTCTGCAGTCAACATGCCAGGTCCTTCAAGAGGAAGTGACCCATGAATTGGGAAGTGAACTTTGTGGGGCAGATGCTTTGTGGTTATTCAGTCATTTTTCAATGGTGTATGACTCTTCATGACCCCATTTGGGGTTATCTTGACAAAGATACTGAAGTAGTTTGCCATTTCCTTCTCCTGCTCATTTTACAGATGAAGACACTGAGGCAAACAGGTTTAGGTGATTTGGCCAAGGTCACACAGCCAGTAAAGCATTTAAGACTGGATTTGAATTCAGGTCTTCCTGACACCAGGTTCAACCCTCTCTCCACTGCTTTGTATGAACAATGTGTTAAGTTTGAGTCCCCAGGAGATGGAGTGGTATGGGGAGAGTATATCCCCAGGTTTGGGGGCAAATGTTTGTAATTATGATCTTAGTAGGTCTTCTCGGTAAATATTCCTTTGTAAAAGCTAATAGATGTTGATTGATTAAATGATACTAGGCCGCTAATCACTGTAGGATATTAATGACATAAGAGAGATAATTATTATTGATAATTAACATTGAGGAGACCTCACTGACATGTGGACTGAAGCCAATGGCATTAAAGAGAATCAATCTGACCCCTTAGGGGTCCTGCTAGAACCCTGAAGGGGGGAGATGTAGTCTTGTTCTGGGGGACCTGACTCATTAGTATGAGCGTGCATGAGTTGGAATAAAGATCCTCAGAGCCTTATAATTTATTGTTTAGTCATTTTCAGTTGTGTCCAACACTTTATGATCCTTTTCCTGAATTCTCTTGGTAAAGACACTGGAGTGGTTTAAATTGAGGCAAGCAAAGGTTAGGTGACTTGTCCAAGGTCACAGAGCTAGTAAGTGCCTGAGGTCAGATTCAAACTTAGGTCTTCCTGATATCCACACCTGGTACTCTATCCACTGTGCCACCTAGCTGCTCCAAGAACTTTATAAAGCCTGCACAAATAATGATGGTACAAAGGAGAGTGAAACAGAAGTGAATCCAAAACATTAGCAGGGCAATAGGCCATTGAGGGCTATATGCTATTTGATGTGAATCTAATGGAGATACAAATAGCAAAGACTGAATAACTGAGCTACAAAATGGGTGGTGCCCTGCTAGCAAGAAGTATCAGGATATTTGAAGACCGGGATAAAAACAAAGGAGCATGGACATTTTTGGTGTTCTTCCCCTTGAACACTGTATTAGTGGCATACCTAGCCCTGAACAGTGGAAGGTCAGTGTGGAAGGCATTATGGCCAAATAAGAGTGGAAAGTTATATGGTCAATCAATCAATAAGCCTTTATTAAGTACCTTTTCTGAGATAGGCACTGTGCCAAGTGCTGGGAATATAATGCCAATAAATGAAGTAATTCCTACTTACAAGGTGGTTATCTTCTAATGGAATGATGAGATGCTATACTGCCAAATAAAGTCAGGGACATCAGTGGTGATGGACTAGTAATTACAGTAACATGCAAAGTGTAAAAACAATTTCCATGAAAAGCAGCTTAGTTTAAGTTTAGACTCTAGTTATTCAGCTGACTTGTGTAGCTGCCACTTCCTTTATTCCATACACCTACATTAAACTACTTTTAATTTTGGCACCAACAGTGCTTAGAAGCTCTGCTAATTATACTTTCCATTACCTATTACAATATGCATATGTCTACAGATATATACTATGTATAACATATATATGTTTGTGTGTGTGTTTACACATGCACACAGACACACACACTCCCTGCTGGATTGTTTATTGAATGTTCAAGTGAAATATTCCTGTCCAAATTTATTTTTCAATCATGATTGGTCCTAGAACTTCTTAAGATTAACTGAGAATTTTTCTTCTTGATTACATCACATACACAGGTCATGAATTAATCTGAATTTTTGCCTTTCTTTGGAGACTCAGAACACAGATAATTATATCCAGTTGAAAGCAGCTAGGTGGTGCAATGGATAGAGTGCCAGGGCTGGAGTCAGGAAGACTCCTTTTTGTGAAATCAAATCTGGCCTCAGACACTTACTAGCTGTGTGACCCTGTTTGCCTCAGTTTCCTCATCTGTAAAATGAGACGGAAAAGGAAATGGCAAAACACTCCAGTATCTTTGCCAAGAAAACCCCAAATGGCGTCATGAAGAGTTGTACACAACTGAAAATGATTCAACAACAACAACAAATACCCAACTGAACAGCTCTTAGAGGGCACAGCTAATGGTGGTCAGGCCCAGGTGCCATTTCTTTGTCTTTGAGTTTGACCTTGAAGAGATCATAGAATTCATCTAATCCAACCATGCCATAATATAAATGAGAAAACCAAGGTCCAGGATGCTATTTGTCCAAGGCCACAAAAATAGTTGTAGAATCCCAGTGGTATCCCTCAGCGGGTCCCTGGGAGGGTGATTGCTCCAGGTTCAAGGTGAGTATTTTGGGTCCACCCTGCTAAAACTGTAATAGTCAGCCAGAAGACACAATAAGACCAAAACAATATATTTACTAAAACTCCATTAGAAGAAGAGCAGCAACAACACCTCTCCCCTATCAACCTTAGGGTACACTTTGCCAAAAGTACACCCAGCACTAATAGTGAGAATAGACATTCTTAGAGGTCATAAATACAGAAGTG